CTCTCAGTTGCTTTTTTCCATCGAGCTGTATGGTTCTCTGGAAAGACTGAGCCAGCCTTCAACTCTTTTTGAGATGTTTTCCTCTCTTTATTTATCTTTTTTTTACTCTTAATCACTTAATTAGTTAAGCACCCTTCATTTCGCTGCATTTTTTCGCTTTCCCGCCATATCGATTCCCCCCTCTCCCCCCATCGGCTTCTCCCTGCTCTACTCTCCTTTCTTATGGCCTCTCCAGCACCCTTCAAACCTTGCATTACCTGTGCAAGCAGAATCGGTCTTTCAGATGGCCATGACAAGTGCCTCTTCTGTTTAGGCGAAAATCACCCAACCCATTCTTGCGCCGTCTGCAAAAATCTAACCAGGCTGGCATTAAAACAAAGACTGCAAAGGCTGAGATCTTACCTTTGGCAAACGGCGATGAACCTCCTGTACCATCCACGGAGGCGGTAAGATCTCCCACTTCTTCAGGCGAGAGGCTCGCTTCCGGACAACCCACTTCTGAAGCTGGGGCGCCCGTCTTACCACCCAAAGAGCCTGCAGACAAAACCGAATCTGCTGTTAAACAGAGATCGTCCTCTACCACTAAATCATCTTCCCGGGCGCACGATCTCACTGAGAAAAAGAAGCCTAAGTCTACCGTAAAAATCTAAGTGAGATAAACCTCCTCGCACTGGCCCTCCCCAGCCCACTCTACCTTCCCCTATTCTAGAGGAGTCTTCAAGAGAGGCCCACAACTTCAATTCTGACAGAGATGAGGCTCAACAACTTCCTCCACTATGGCATCAAACCTGACACCGAACATTGGCCTCTTTGTGGCTGCGCCTCCATCCAGCCAGGCCCCGGTCCACTCCAACCCTGCATCAGGGTGGGCAGCTGAAAGTTTGGCATCTGATCCTGACACGCCTCCTTCCTCCCCTAGGAAGCGTGTGGAAAAGCAAAAGCATATCTCGCCACCGAAACCCATGACACCATACGGAGATTACTTTACATTCCACATGATGCCATACCAGTTCTTTGACCCATCCTTGTGGCAATCTCACTTCAAACGATACCATTCAGAACAGCAGAAACGGGCTCGTTGTACACCAGATCATTCTCAACCATCTTCACTGAAGACTACATTGGTCTAGAAAAACTGCACCACCTACCCCGACATCGATTACAACTCAACCATCTAAACGATCTAAATCGACGTTGAAATCCAAGAAGCATGACCATTCGATCCCACTTCACTCACTTCACATCACTCAAAACCCTTTGGAGCCTGCAGAAACTCATGAGCCTCGGTACCATGAGACCCCTTCGACAGTATGGGTCTCTTCAATCTCAAAACTGATGAAACCATGGAAAATATCCATAAGATACGTAAAACAGCAAAATCATACTCATATCAGCAATCCTCTGGGCTTCAACGATTCCACCCATACAGGAAATATCGTTCTCAGCAATCTGAGAGGTCTCCCACAAATCCACAACCACTAATGCCGTCCTTTCACTCCCTGGGCCAGCCATGTCAACATCAACCCTTTCACAAAGGCCAAAGGAAGGGTAAGGGAATGTCTCAAAATGTTTGTCCCCTTCCGTTTCTCCAAATCCCCTTTCAAACTAGATTGGCACCATTTCTCCATCACTGGAATACTATTACCAATGATAAATGGGTTCTGTCCATCGTCGTCCATGGCTTCATGATTGAATTTGACAATCTACCCCCCCTTGGGGTTTATCCACTCTATGCCGTTCTCTTCCACTCTCCAGGAGGAAGTCTCTATTCTCCTATCCAAACAGACTATTATCCCAGTCTCTCCCTCTGATTGGTACCATGGCTTCTATTCAAAATACTTTACGGTTTCAAAGAAGGACGGAGGACTCCGCCCTGTCATCGATTTGAGAAATCTTTATAATTTCATTCGACCCTGTAAATTAAGAATGCTCACACTAGACACTATTATCCCCTTGCTTTCACAGAGAGACTGGTTCATCATAATCGACTTACGGAACGCATACTTCCGTATCTCAATACATCCTTCCCATCAAAGATACCTCAGGTTCCACTTTAGCAACTCTGTGTATCAATTTTCTTCCCTCCCCTTTGACTTGTCTACAGCCCCAAGAACGTTCACCAAGTGTATGGCACCAATCACTGCTTTCCTACGCCTTCAAGGCATAAACGTCTATCCCTACATTGAGGACTGGCTTATCGTCTCAACATCATACCTCGATGCCATAGCAGCAAGAGATACCACTCTTCACACACTTCAAAGACTCAGGCTCGACATCAACCCCACAAAGTCTTATCTACAGCCATGCCACAGTCACCTTTATTGGGGCCAAACTAAACTCACTTCAAGCCGGAGCTTTCCTCCCGCAGGAAAGAATTCTCCAAATACACAAGGCAATCACACTCTTTCAACCTCAAGGGAGAGTGTCTGCCTGTCACCCACAACATCTTCTCAGGCTCATAGCCTCAACAACATCAGTAGTACAGCATGCAAAGCTCAAGATGAGATCACTCCAAGCCTGGCTCCTGTATCTGTTCGACCCCATGACAGACCCGCCATCCACAAAACTACCCGTTACTCAGGAACTAGCAGATCAACTCGGATGGTGGACTTGCCTTCCAAACCTGCTGATCGGATTACCTTTCTCCCCTCTTCAACTGATGGTACAAGTCATGACCAATGTGAGCCCTTTGGGATGGGGAGCACACTGCCTTCATCATAAGGGCCACAGCCTATGGTCAAAATGGGAAAAGACTCTTCACATCAATCACCTAGAACTGCTAGCGCTCAACAGAGCATTCCTCCCTCTCATCAAAGGCCAAGTTTTTCAACTCACTACAGACAACACAACAGTGCTTTATTATGTCAACAAGCAGGGAGGTACCCATTCTTTTTCCCTTTTGTACCTTGCTGTCAATCTATGGGAATGGTGCCTTCAGAACCAGGTCTTCCTCATAGCAGTACACATTTTGGCAGAAGACAACTTCGTGGCAGATCATCTCAGCCATCTGCCGTCAGGGACACACGAATGGTTTCTCAACGACACCGTGTTCCACCAACTCTGTCTTCACTGGGGCACGCCAACTATCGACCTCTTTGCATCAAGGGCAAACAGGAATTGCACACTTTTTTGCTCTCCAGCTAGAGCGGATACTGATTCCATGGGAGACGCGTTCATGGTGGACTGGTCCTGGGACTTCCTCTTCTTATTCCCTCCAATACCGCTTATCCAAAGAGTGATCATTCGGCTCCACCAATCCAGAGTGAATGCAATCCTCATAGTCCTGAAGTGGCCCAGGCAACCATGGTTTACTCACCTAACATCCATGTCAATAGACTCTTTCCGTTTTCCTCTACTGCCAAACCTACTCAGACTCAACCAAGGGATGATCCACCATCCAAACCTGATATCCCTGAGTGGAGAAAGGCAGTCCTAATTCAAAGAAATGGAGAAGGTAGGAGAGTAGTAGTCTTCAAGGACACAGGAATGGCAGGTAAGTTATACATATATATATATACCCTTAAGGTGGAGAAAGACAGTCCTAATTCAAAGAAATTCATATATATCTGCCATTGTCACCCATCGACCAGATATATATACCCTTAAGGTGGAGAAAGACAGTCCTAATTCAAAGAAATTCATATATATCTGCCATTGTCACCCATCGACCAGACAACTCTACTTCTGTGAGATTGTTCTCCCACTATACGGTTAAGAAACTCCTTAAGGGACTTAACATCTGTCCTCCACTTCAATGTATTGTACCTCAATGGTCACTCCAGCTGGTCCTCAGTACATTAATGTATCCACCCTTCGAGCCCATGTCATCTTCGAACATGAAGCTACTTACCCTCAAAACAGTATTCCTTGTTGCTATCACTTCTGCCAAACGGGCCAGTGAACTTGCCTCTCTCTGAGCCAATCCTCCTTTCACACAGTTTCACCCTGATAAGGTTACTTTATACTTTGATGTTTCCTTCTTGCCTAAAGTGGTATCTGATTTCCACATCAATCAACCCATCATATTACAATATTTCTTAAAAAAACCCAACATCTGCATTAGAGCACATGCTCCATACCACTGATGTCTGGCGAGCCCTTGCTTTCTACTTACTCAGGACGAAAACCCTCAGAAAGACTAATAAACTCTTTGTTTTCATGGCCCTTGTAAGGGCACCCCTGCCTCTTCTCAATCCATTTCTAGGTGGATAGTTCAGACTATTTCTCTAGCCTACCAAATATCAGGGAAAGCACCTCCTGACCATCTGACAGCTCATTCCACCAGAGCTCTGTCCATCTCGGTTGCCTTCCATCATGGAACCGAGATCCCTGATATATGTTGTGCTGCAACATGGTCCACAGCGTCAACCTTTGTGAAGCACTGCCAACTAGATGTTAGAGCGCACTGTGATGCTTCATTCAGCAGGACTGTGCTGACATCTCTTCTACCGTGACATTCCACCTACTGGTAAGTGAAGCTTGCTAGTCACCCATATGTGTGCATTCACAGAGGCCACGAAGAAGAAAAAGAAGTTACCTACCTGTAACCATAGTTCTTCGAGTGGTCCTCTGTGAATTCACACGACTCACCCATCCTCTCCTCTGTCCATAACAGGTATTCTAATTTAATTATTGTATAACTTTTTGCCCAGTGGACAAATTTTAGGAACTGAGAGGAGTAGTGGGTGGAGGAGCATGTGCCTCGTGGGGGAAATCACACCATAAAATTGTTACTTTTAGCTCTAGAATCTTCCGAGAATGTCAGTGCAGGTGCAGACAAGACTCATGTGTGAATTCACAGAGGACCACTCGAAAAAAACCTTTTTTTTGAAACTGACATTTTTGCAATATGCAAAGTGTAATTGAGACTGATGGTAAGTTGAAATGCATATAATTAAATAGCCAATGAGCTGAAAAAAGTATTTTAGTAATACAGATTGAGTTGAACAGCTGTTACATCTGTTCTTTCCAATCTTGACTTCTTGATTTAAATGTTTCAGCCATGAATCACTTAAATGGACAAAAACTTTATGGAAAAGTGCTGCGTGTCACACTTTCAAAGCATCAGACAGTACAACTTCCTCGTGAGGGACAAGAGGACCAGGGTCTCACCAAGGACTATAGTAATAGCCCTTTGCATCGCTTTAAGAAGCCTGGCTCTAAAAACTTCCAAAATATCTTCCCACCATCTGCCACCCTGCACCTCTCCAACATTCCGTAAGTATCTAGCTGGAGGAAGGACAGCCAACAACCTTTTGCTGCCTAAGGTGCAACAGAAAGTGTCCCATGCCTTCTCTGACTCTAAAAATGAAATAGTACAACAGTAATAACCATTTTCATAAGACTCTTTTCATAAGACTCCAAATGAGCTGGCTCAAGTGGTCTCCTTAGCAGAAGTGCCAGTCTAGCACATGAGGAACTGCAAAATAGCACAAGAAACTAGAATTATATGATAGTGTTTTGAAAAGAGTGTTTTGTAGTCTGGAATAAAAGAAATCAAAAGATTATTTATGGCTTTTGATTACCATTAGAATTGTGCAGATTTGTGGTTTTGGATTACAACTCCCAAAGTTCCCCAGGCTGCTATGATGTATGAATTGATTGTAGACCAGAGCCCCAGTGGGGAGAAAAAAAGAGATTGGGATAAAAGACACAAATCTGTTTTTCCAACAGTTTGTGTTATAAGATGTATAATGTTCTGTGACAGAAGTTGTCCATATTTCCATCACAGGATACCTGCAATCTATAGAGTTTCATGTCCATCAACGCCATGGGCTTAAGGAGCCCCAAATGTTTTCTTACATAGTTACAGTTATCCACGTTCCAGGACTCTAATGACTTTTAAGGAATTTTTTCCTTGTCCTATGCATGTTCTGCTTTTAGAATGTGTCGATTGCTCAGTGTAATGTTATATTCTGAAGATTATACTGGCAGCAGAATATAAGAAACCTTGATTTGCTATGAAACTACAATAAAAATCTAAAAGAATAACATAAGAGATTTGTTTTTTTCCAGGAAGGTAGTTGTGTTAGTTATTACAGGAGCAACACTAAAGAGTCCTGTGGCATCTTAAACATTAATCAGATGATTGTGAAACAAGCTTTTCTGAACTAGTATGCACATAATGCATCTGTTAACATAGCTTCTGGTACATTAAATTTTCTGCAATAACATACTGGTCATTTTTCAAGGTGCCATAAGACTTTTCATCATTTTTTGTTTAGATTTTTAGCTAATGTGGAGGGTTTAATTATCTGTTACAGACCTTCTATCACAGTTGATGACCTGAAGAATCTTTTTGCTGGTACTGGATGTATTGTGAAAGCCTTCAAATTCTTTCCGTAAGTTTTCGCAGTAGCTTACTAAAATTATTCACTTACTTATGGGTAGGGAGTAAAGTGTAACAGAATCAAATTAGTATTGAATGATCTTGTAACAGACGAAATGTAGTTATATCAGCTTCTGGGGCTTTAAAATATATTTGCTCTTGTACCACCTTTTGTACAAAGAAGGATGCAGATCATCCTTTCCAACAGATAAGGACGGGAAACTGTAGCTGAACATTTTTGGTTTTAATAGAACAATATCTAGCAAGACTTTGGCAGTCTGACATGGAAGGAAGGGAGGTAAATTTTGTTTGGAGTTTTTCCAGCTCGTAACTGAACTTCCCAGCATTGTGTCCCTTAAGATGTAGATAGGCTAAAAGATAGATCAGCATGAAATGCTACAGTTTGCAGTGCTAGACCATGCTAAACATCTTGTGTTGGGAGTTGTCTTATGTTTCTGATCATCCAGCTAGTATCTTGCATCTGCTTTTATTTTGACAAGATTTGGAGAAGTGAATGACTTTCAGTATGAAATTGGGCATAATTATTTCTTTTTTCACTTTTAGAAAAGATCACAAAATGGCTCTCATCCAGTTGGGCTCTGTGGAAGAAGCAATTCAGGCTCTTATTGAGCTTCATAATCATGACCTTGGAGAAAACCATCACCTCAGAGTTTCCTTCTCCAAATCTACAATCTGACTCTTCGGTGACTTTTTCTTGTTAAGACTTTACTCCACCATTACCAGTGAAACATTCTTCAGATAGAGACTGGAGTAGCCAAAATCAATGATGCATCTTTAAACAATGAAACTTGAGTGGGTCGTGTGTATTTTTATACATGGTTTAAAAAATTCAAGGGATGGTCTTTCCATATATTCTTCTGTTCAAGTAATTAATAATCCACCACAAAATGTTCTTCTGTAATAATAACAATATTTTCAGTAGAAGCCCCTCCTTTTTAAATGATTTCAGGAACATAATTTTTAGTTTTTATTCCAAAACAACGTTACACAACATTTCTGTGGCAGATTAAATTTGCTATCAAAAGAATGTTTTCAAAGTAGACTTAGAGGATGGCTGAAACACTAATTCTGTGGATTTTTTAAATTAGTAAATTGACTAATTTGACTAGGTAACGTATCAAACTGTACCTGTTAAAAACACTGGAGGAAAGTTTGTGTTTTTCTCCTTGAAGTAACATCAAAATATGCACAGGTCATTTGTCTTAATGTGATCAAATTGACACTTTGGAACTAGATATTGAATCATTGTTATGAGAGTTTATTAGCTTTTATTACTATGAAATGATGTGTAATAAGATTTTGGAGAAAATGAAAGGAGAAATGTGTCCTGATTTCAAGTTTTGTACATTTCTTTCAGAAAAAAAAATGTTTACACTCTTAAGGAAAAAAATTCAGGTCTGTCATATGGTTTGACAAATTTTTAGAAAGGTTATTTTTGGTAAGGTATTGTTTAAAAATATAAAAGTAAACCTCAAGGGTTTTTTGTACCACTGTAATCTCTAATACTTAAATCAAAATTACTGTGTATTTACTTAATTTCTTATGTGCCTTATTATGTGCTTATAATGATACAATAGTTTAGAGTTTTATCTGAAGTATCTTTAAACTGTATTGTGGCTTGGTGAGATTTTTTTCCCCCTTGTCTTACTTTTTAAACATTTGGTGATTTTAAAAATGTTTTTAATAAGTAATAGTCAAATCAGATTTTTGGTGCTTTGGTACAGGGATGGGGAAGTGGGAACTGAAGATAACTCAGTGCACATCCTTATAGGCCTATTCACAATATTTTTAGGGTTGCAGTTGAATGACATCACTGTTGAGATCTAAAGAATGTTTTCCAATTTCTGGATGATGTCTAACTTGTTGAGCCATCGGGCTCTTGAAAATATTTTGCCTCAGGATTCTTTTTCACCCTACAGTGCTGAGCTTGCTGTACTAAATGTAGACTGGTGTTTCTTCATAAATGTCATAACTTCAGTACTGAATGTTCACTCCTTTTTGGAGAGCAAGTTGAGATGCAATCTTACTTTTTGGGGCTGGGTGGGTTAAATATAGATATACACAAATTACTTCTATGATTGTAATACAATGTTTTTAGAGGTATTGCAAGATGTTATGTCTACTGAAATTTTTCATTTTTTAAAATAAGGTATTTCTCTCAAGTATAAAGGTATTCAGTCCTTTAAATAGTTCTGAATCTGAACGCAGAAACTTAAGAAATGAGATGGAGTGATTGTGTGTGTTTGTGTGTGTGTGTTTGTGTGTGCGCGCGTGTGAGCGTGTGCTCACTGTCTTTGAGATTTTAGCAAGTCGATTTGTTCTGTGAATACCAGCTGCTGCTTGGCAAAAATAATTCCTTAGTTAGATCTAGCTCAGAGCTCCTTTGTCATGAAAACCTAATTTAAATTTGAGATGCTGTTTTTTTGGTAAGACCAATAAAAAATGAAAGGAATAGGCAGTGAAACACATGCTGTCTTAAATTTAAATAGTTCTGTTTGTGGAAGATAGCTGATGCTCACACTTGATTTTTGTTTTGTTAGCAAATAAGTTTCGCTGTGTACAGCTATGCTATCTGCCCGGTAATAACTGACGTTATTTCCACTTCTCTGTGGCTTCACACAGTATGATAGTATAAACACAACCTAGTATACGATGAACTTTTTTTCCAGTGGTGCCTAATTCTGTTATGGCACTTGACCCTAAGTGTGCCTCCTTCATTCCATTGATTTCAGTGGACCATAACTCCAAGTAAGCATGTTCAGAATTACAGCATACTGAAGCATTAAGTTTAAAAGTTTTTCTGGATGAAAATTCCAATGAATATGCCTTCTCCTCAGTATAATTTGCTAAGCTACCTTTAAGCTTGGTCACTATGTGTTTAAATGCTGCTACAAAGGGGGGGCATTATTGGAGTTGATGAATGTAACTGAAGCAGGAAAAAATACAAGTTTTGAGACTAAGCATTAGCATGTATAATATCAAGAATGGTGTGGGTGGGTGTTTGTGCACACGTATGCTGTGTGAAGTATCCAGTGTGTATGTTGATGCACATTCCAGGCATTTAATTTATTGATTTAACTAATCTTAAAAAAATGCAACTTTGTAGTGTTAATTGCAAAATAAATGGTAAATTTAACAAGAAAAATAATTCCACTTAGTCCTTAGAAAATTTCTATTCTATTTGCAGTTTAAGTTGTAGGAAGTACAATTATAGTTACATGCCAGCATATTTTTTGAAATTTGATTTTGCATATACTCATATTTTGTGTGGTCTCATCATAATTATATTCTAGTCTGTATAAATCATCTTGGTTGTAGTGTATGTGTGTTCATTGTTTTGGGCTTGATTCTATTTTTCTTCAAGATGCAGATATGAGAAATGGCAGTACAGAGCTTGTACCTAAAACAGTAGTTTCATTTGCAACAATAGTTAGCATGATCTACTCCTCCCTATGGAATGCTTTAGAAAAAGCTGGCTTTACAATTATATTGTCCTTTTTAAAGTTCCTGTGATACAGAATAGTTCCATCTTGATTCCTTGCTATTTAGGCCTACAATGAGTATCCTCCAAAATTAAGGTGCTCTAGAGCAGCAGTCCCCAACCTTTTTAGGTCTGTGGACTGGTTGGGGAAGGTGGGCACTCCCCATGCTCGTGTGCATGCATGAACAAGAGCACTCTCTCTTGCACAGGCGGGTGTGCACATGCGCAATTGGCAGTGTGGCGCTTGCACGTGCATGCTGGAGTGCGTGCGCAGGCGCAAACAGGTTATGTGGGGGTGTGGCAGGAGATCTGTCTCAGTGTCCCGGTCCGGCTCAGGCCGCAGGCCAGGGGTTGGGGACCTCTGCTCTAGACCATATGGTGATTAGATATCAACCTTTGTGCAAACACCTCTTTGTACAAGTACCTTGATGACAAATAACTGATTTTTCACACTACTTGACCCTGCCTAGTATTTATTCTATCAATTTAATCTTTCCTGGTTTTTTACTCCTTAAGGATAAACTTGTGGGGGGTTAAAACTGTGTGACTCTTGCCATTACTCTGTAGTGGTGTTCAAGTCACAGTCTTCTGTGCATCAGGCATTTCTGTTGCCTGTAGAATTTATGATATGTGCTAGGGATTTGAATATATTTTGGCTTCTAATCACATTTAAATATATTTGCATATTGTGCAGTTTGGTGCCTTTCTGGTATACTGGATAAACATTTCCTTGAGTGTGGATTTGCAGTTTAATAAATAAAAGCTTCTACTCATTATAAGAGAGTATATGCTTTCTAATGAAGCTGAAGAATGGAAAATATTCCTAATGTTATAGTGACCCACAAAAACTAAAATGGTTCTAAAAATACTCAAGTCTCAAACTCCACAATGTTGCGGAAAGCCTAGATTAAAAAACACTGTAGGAAACCATTTCTATACAATAGGCACCTACAGTTGCTTGTGATTCTTACTCTTAGAAGTAAAACCATGATAGTAATCAGCTCAGAAAACACACTGTCACTAGCTTTTAATGAAACCCAGATGGAAAAATACTTAATTTGGATGGGGCTTGGGAAGCACAGAGTACGTTTTCCTATGGGCGCAAGTATAGACTCTTCAAGAGTCCTTATGTCTTGGGTTCTTTCCTTAGTAGGCCCACTGATAATTTGGATGTACATGTGCAGATTTTAATATGGAATTAAATATTTGATTGCATCATTGTTCCAATAAAGTCTTAAATCCAACATCTTGACAAGTTACCAAAACTGCAAATGAACATTCCTTTTGATCAGATTTGATTGCTTTTATGTCTCCCACCAGTGGCATTGATAATATGACTGGGGAATGTCTTGAGGGCTCTTTGTGCCTATGTATACAAACGTAGCCTTGTGTTGTCCATTTGGTACCTCTTTCTCCCAGACTGAGAGATTCTGCAGTAGAAACCTACTGCTCTAAAATCATGGATTTTAGAAAGAAAAAAGCCTGCATCCGCACTGCACAGTTCAGCATGCCCAAGTGGGGCCTCCAGTCATGGTCTCTCTTCTGGGAATAAGAAATCTGAGATGTGTTCATTCAGTCTTCATCCTGTCAAATGTAATATGTACTGCTGTTTTCAAAGGAGAGCAGTTGAGTAATCACCTGTATTAAAGCCATTTTGTTTGCCTTGACTTTTTTGTGGACTGGTAACTTTGAACAAAACTGCCAGATTTAAAACTGTTCAAGTTGCACAGAGATTTTCTTGAATCAAACTAAATTCTAATTGTCTTCACGAAGATCTGTATGTTGTATTTGAGACTGTTCATAAATTTAAAAGCAACCTTAACAGGTAGGGGATCATTTGAAAATATTTAAAACAACTAAAATTTTATTTTCAGGTTTTTTACAAAAAACACAAATGGGACCAAAGTTTATGTGCCTTCAGTAGATGTGTAATTGTTTTGCTATATCTTTCAGTGTTTAGACTCAAACTGTTCTTTTTAAGAAAATGTGTATTTATATAGTAAAATACCAAATGACCCATAAACGTTCCATATGTGCAGTCAGTTGCTTCCTATATCAGTTGGGTTTGTGATCACTTCACTTGCTACCATTGTAACATGAATCATGCTGCACCATGAGGAATCCAAGTTAAACTCCTTTATGTCTGGCTTGTGGTTGGCACATAGATTTCAGCTAAGGAAATAAAAAGATAGTGAGGATATCTGTATTCAGAGATTCACTGTATTAAAATAATGGATGTATCCCTAGTCAGAATTTTCCATTCTTGGACCTATGTGCAGTAATCAGAATTATAATGAAAAATGCAATTCTTGCCCCAGTTTCCTTTTCTGTTCCTGAAAACAATCCATCCCACTCTCTCAAAATATGGTTGCTGACCAAGCAGATTGTTGCATCAGATTGTCACCTCACTGCAATGACCAAAGATTGTCTGTGTTGGTTTTATGAAGACATCCCATCAGTTTTTTTTTCTTTCTGTCAAGCTATTTTTCCTGAAAGACTCCATGTAAAGTGGCCTTTTATATGAATGCTGTTGTTGGATGAAATACTTCATGGGAATTCAAATTTTTAAAAATGTGAACCAAATGTAATGGCTTAAGACAAGGGGTATTGGAATACCTAGTACTGTATTCAGAGAAAAAAGGTGCACAATTACAAGAGTCAGACATTCCCTATCTTTCCATGTGTTCATTAAACCCTTTTTATGTTTGTAAAAATGTTCATCTAACACAAGAAAATGCTGTAAATATTTGTAACAACGTTTTTTACCTGGCAAAAAAAAGGTTTTTGGGAACAAGTATAAAATGGTTTTTATATTTAAAAAAACATCAATTGTCTTGTATATTTTGATAAGCAACAGTACCAGCTTTCATTTGTTAAGCAGCTTGTGGCATTGGAGGGGGAAAAAAGGATTCCATGTTGAGATGAGTTGATGTTATAAATGCGAAGAAGTTGAAATATTAAAGAAACCTATTTTCTAACTGAGTAGTGCATGATTAATTTGAACTTCTGTACACTGCCGTATACTCCATTTCTTTTAAGTTTTGTGTATTTGCTGATTATTACTTGAGTATCTATACTTAACCCTTTTTCTAACAACTCTAGTTGTAGCATGCCTCTTAATAAATGTCATGACATCTGTACTCTCAAATTTTTCTGCGTTCTTGTCTATTACTTTGGGTTTCACCTTCTAATTGTAAAGCTAATGTCTGTCTTTTTATTTGTGTTTCTTTCTTCTATTGACCATCTACACTTGCTCTTTCTGAATTGTCTGAAGTCTTTTGACAATACGTAATTACATTTTCATAGATATTCTTACAGCATACTTAATATCACATAATTTTAAACAGATGAGGGGTTGATTCTTCATACAAATGGACTGGCAAAAAAAGTCTGAGGTTATGGCTACATGAGAAGCAGGGAGTAAGCTAGTGTGAGCCATTTGGGAATGGTCAGGGTTGAGTTGAACAATCTAATCAAGTCTGGCTAGGCACATCTAAATGACTGCTGACAATATCATGGGGTGGTTTAATAAGTGAGCAACATCAGGATATTGGCAAATTAATCACTTCCCCTTCTTGGTTCTATATAGACTATTGCTGATGTGCTGGATTTGACCATGGACAGCTTCTCAGCTAGCTCTTTAAAGTGAGGGAAATGTTTTTGTAAAACATTGTAACTGATGTAACGCACCAGTGATAATTACATGCATTAAACCCCCCCCTTTCCACTGCCCTCTGCTGAGCAGAGGAAGTACTTAATTTTCCAGTATTCTGAAGTGGCTTGCTTCTTAAGCCACTTCATTGGCAAATTGAAAGAGGAAGGCTTGCTTTATTCATTCATTCATTCATTCATTCATTCATTCATTCATTCATTCATTTATTTGATTTCTGTCCCACCCTTTTAGACAAAGTCTACTCCGGGCGGGTTTGGATTGGTTCCAAAAGACACATGCACTGGAACCAATCCAAACAAACCAGAATGATCATACCTGTGCTGGAAAAACAAGAGCCCCTTAAATTACCACTTCAAATTGTTCAGATTGCTCAAATTCAAACAGCTTGACATTTCAGCATAAAACGTCTTCAGAATAGATGTCCAATTTGTATTTGCGCCTGAGACTACTTAACATGTAGTGGAGTAGGGTCACAGCATCTAGTTGGTCAGACCATAACCTAGACTAGTATGTATGCAATTTTTGGCTGTTGCTTGCACTTTCCCCAGCTCTCCCCAGCTGAGAAGACTTTACCGCAAATCAACACATCCCTATTGGGTGTTTTTTCGTGTGTCTGTGTGCTTCCTTTTTTCTTTTACTTCCCCTACCAAGAGTGGGCACTTGAACATATTTTCTCCCTCCTTTTGCTCCACTTTGTGAAAAGAGGGTGTGAGTGGAGGGAAATTGAGCCACCCAGCAGATGTAGGTACATACTTATTAGTGGCATGATGTGGAACCTTGGTAATGGGAGATTGGAATTGCTGTATAACAACTAAGGCAGTTGCTGTTCCTGATTTGCATATTGAGCTAGTGAAAAGAAAAAAAGTTATTCCCATAAGAGTATCCTGTTCTGTCTTGTCTTTCACTCAAAATAGCATGCAGGAAACTGTGTCCCTTAATAGAGCATTTCGTTATGTTGGTTGTCCCTGATAAGTTTCCACTTCCCATTCATGAGTAGTAGTGCGATGAAATGGAAAGAAGATTCAAGGTTTCCCAGCCTTTTTTAACAATAAAATCTCAATTCCATGGTAGATGAGTGTAATTTCGACTTAGTTTTTTCTGTGTTTGCTATAACAATCTGCAAACCTGATAGTAAAATCTCACTGAAGAGGCATCTAACCTGCAGTTAATTTGAACAGAAATTTAACTCTATCCTGGATACCCATTGTGGTGCAGTGGATAAAATGATGGACTAGGACTTAGGAGATCTGGGTTCAAATCCTCTCTTGGCCATGGAAACTCACTGGGGAGGTGAAATTGGTAAAACTATTTAAATATCTCACTTCCCTTGAAAGCCCTGTTAGGATCACTATGAGTTGGGTGAGACTTGACAACACATAACATTATTATTTCTTTATTGAAACATTTTACACCACCTTAGAAAAGGACCCAACGCAGCTTACAACATTTAAAGATAACATTTAAGAACAAAACAATGAGTATATAAACATGGCATACATCATTAAAAGGCAATATTTTAAGCTAAAACCACTAAATGTAGAAATATTTTAAAAGAACAAACAAAATACCCCTTCTAGAAATGGGAGACACAAGCAATACTAAGAACATACAGTGGTGCCTTGCTAGACGACGATAATCCATTCCACTGAAATCGCTGTTTAGCGAAATCATTGTCTAGCGAAAAGCATTTCCCCGTTGGAATGCATTGAAACCTGTTTAATAATAATAATAATTTATTGTCATTGTAAGTATATACACAGTATACCCATACAACGAAATTCACAGACACCCAGAGACCAGACACATGCACACACATAAAATTCCCCAAACACTCCCCACCCCAATGCATTCCAATGGGGAAGAATCGTCATTGTCTAGCAAAGATCGGCCATAGGAAAAGCCGCTTTGCGAACCACTGATCAGCTGTTTAAATCGCTGTCTTGCGAAGCTTAGGTCCCGAAAACACCTGTTTTGCAAGCGCGGAGGAAGCTGTCAAAATCGTTGTCTAGCGAAAATCGGTTTGTGAAGCAGGGACCAAAAGTTGTCCAGCGAAATTCCCCCATAGGAATCACTGTTTTGCGAATCGCTATAGCGATCGCAAAAAGTCAATGTCTAGTGAAAAAAACTGTCATGCGAGGTAACTGTCTAGCGAGGCACCACAGTAGTCAAATTAATGATGCATAACAATCCATCTAAACTAAAAAGATCACACTCAGCCAGCCAGTCATTGAGGGAAAGCGTGCCTGAAGAGAAAGGGCTTCGCTTGTGGAAGGACAACAGAGATGGGATCAGCCTAGCCTCCTGTGGGAGGGAGATCCAAAGTCTCGGAGCAGCAATAGAGAAGACCCTCTACTGTGTCCCCATCAAACACACCTGTGAAAGTGGTGGGACCAGGATAACGGCGTCCCCTGATTATCTTAGTACCTGAGTAGGTTCTTAATGGGAGACACGGTCTTTGAGGTAGTTTGGGCCCAAGTTGTTTAAGACTTTATAGGTTTAAACCAGCACTTTAAATTGTGCCCGGAAACAGATCAACAGCCAGTGGAGCTGTTGTGATGGGCGTTGTGTGATCCCTGTAACCTGCCCCAGTCAGCAGTCCGGCTGCTGCATTTTGGACCCACTGACATTTCCTGACACTTTCGACAGGTAGTCAAGCGCATTACATAACACTCTTTCCTGCCCATTATCATAGCTTTTTTCATTTGTAAAGTTCTTATTATGCTTCTCTGTATACCTTATTAGCATAACTTTTTTGTGGGAAGCACACATAGATATGTGCTGCGATACAAACAGATTAAAATGCAAAGAAGTTCGGCAAAGGGCATTGGGGTAAACGTATGCTTTGTAATGAATTTCTCTGATTACTTCCTGTTGCTTCAATTTCTAAGGTAGTTTTCTTAAAGCTGAGATATAGCACTGTTGCTTTGTGCCAGGCAATGACCTGATCAAACAATTAACATGTGGCTTGCACCTTTTTGATGTCACAGTCACTGACTCTTCCTCTAGCAAGGAAGCCATATTGTTTGATACTTAAGACTGAGGTACAGTACTTGAATGGGAAGATGATTCTATGACATTGTAGTCTAAAATAGGACTGAAAACTAGGCGAATTATTTAGAACCACTTTAATGCTGTTATTCAGAATACTTATGATTCATTTTAAGCACTTTTACCACACTTGTTAAAAGGTTCCCAGAGTAGCTTATAATCAATGCTAAGAGTTATTGCCCTCAAACTCCTATTTGAAACACATAAGCCAGTGTAGGAGAGGAGGAAACAAAACATAAGCTTGTGCACATGATCTTTCATAGTTTAATTTTTCTCACAATCAGCTGGGATAGAAACGGCTCAGGCAACCTGATATACTGAGTACCGTCTAGTTGGCACCTGCAGAAATTCAAAGTTAAGTGATCTTTAAATAACTGATGGAATAGCCTTGCTGCTGTTCCTCTCCTTTGCATCCTGTTGGAACTTGAGTCTGCTGACTCCTGTTGAATATCATACTTCTGTACAGAGGTGCCTCGACTTATGAATGTCCTGACTTACGGCCATTTCAAGTTACAACCAGCTCCGGCTGCAAAATTTTGCTTCAACTTGCGACCGGAGCTTCCACTTATGAACAGAAAAAAGCAGGGGGGAAAGGCGGGAAATTCAAATTTCTAACTATAGGTGGCAGTGAGGCTGCTTCTTTGTAGCTCTTTCTCCCCAGCAGTTAAAGAGTGTGCGTTGTCGTAAGAGGCTTGGGACTGCTTCCTTCTGCTTCTGAGTGAGCATGTGTGTGTTTGCAGGGAGGCTTCAGGCTGCCTGGTAAGGTGCTGTTTTCTGCTTTTTAAAACTGTTCTGGGTGTTCTTGCAGTGTGGTTTTGAGCTGGGGAGGTTATGTTTCTGTGCTGTGATGGGTCTTGGGGGTTTAGTTTGTTTTTTGCTCCCCCCATTTCCGATGGGTCTTGGTTTTTTCTTTTTGGAGTGTTTTTCCCCGTTTCTGATGGGTCTTGGGTGGTTTGGTTGCTTTTTGGGTTCCCCCCATTTCCAATGGGTCTTTGGGGTTTGTTTTGTTTTTTGCTTTCCCCCATTTCCTATGGGTCTCGGGGGGGTTAGTTGCTTTTTGGGTTTTTTTCCCCATTTCCAATGGGTCTTGGGGGGTTTGGTTGCTTTTTAAGTTCCCCCCATTTCTGATGCGTCTTGGAGGGTTTGTTAGTTTTTTGGATTCCCGCCATTTCCAATGGGTCTTGGGGGGGTTGCTTTTTGGGTTTTTTCCCCATTTCCGATGCATCCTGCATGCTTCCCTTGATTTTTCCTGTTGTT